TCTCTCTCTCTCTCTCTCTCTCTCTCTCTCTCTTTTTTCATCTTTTGTTTTCCGTGTTTATTTACAGGACCAAACCGAGGTTCAGTCCCTGGAAGTCAAGAAGCTTTTTGAAGAATACAACAAAATGGTACACTTCTATTACCACAAGTCAAAATATAATACACAAACTGTTAAAGAACTATTGGAATACTGGATTTCATGTCATTACAAATTTATTGTTGTACTCTTTTTGGGGATATAAGAGGCCGCTGTGAACCAGTCTGGCTCTTCTCTGTTCTGAAACTCTTTATAAGATGAACTGAGAAAACTCCACCCACTGACCCTTGAAATCTGATTGGCAGATGTTCCTGCTGTCCAAGCAGTTCACCCAGTGGGACGAGACCCTGAGGAAGATGGAGGAGGCCAAGGGCATCCGGCCTGTGGAGTAGTTACTGTCAACACGCACTTCTGATGAGGATGGTGACGGTGAAGCAGACTACACTGTGGTGGGAGCTTCACACCTGACGAGTGTTCTATATGTAGCTTGTTCTTCCCCAATGTGTCAGAACAAAATGAGACTAAAGGAATCCAACATTTCACTGTTTTGTTTTTAACTGCTTATCAGTTTGTCGATACAACCTTGGTACCTTAACGGCCTCATCCCATGATATTGATGGTTTTAGAAAATTATCTCTCCCAGGCAAATGATCTCACTTAAAACAGTTGTTTCAAATGAAAAATCTAGGAGTTCAGTATAAATTAAAATGTAACGTAAAAATGATTTTTATGCATTGTCGAAAAATGTTGTTCATACAAATAACAATTCCTTTATTAAGAGTACCTGCACATGTGTGGATCTACCAGTTAAACTGACCTACCAGCTCTACTGTTTGTATGTGGTTTGGTGTCTGTTGTAGTTGTGGACTAATGTTATCAGTAATCCTGTACCGCTCATACAAACCTATTCATACAGTAAACCTGGAATGTAAGGAGTGGTGGAAATGTAAAATGTACAGGAACTCAGTCTTATGAGTCTTGAGTCACATGAAGGAACTCGCTCGCTCCCATCACGTGACTTGGTTCGGGTGGTCAGACAGCTCAGAGATGCTGCTGTTATTTATTTTCAGACAATTTTTTTTATGCTTTAATATTGACTTCACTTGTAATGCATTCCACCTCTACTTCCCTACTGCAAGCCAGTCACAAGATTTGTCCTGCCCTTCACTCATTCACACGCACACCCACATCCTCTTCAAGGCTTTTGTTTTTTCCCTCTGGATGCCTCTCGACAAGAGGAGTTGCAGAGACATAAAGCAGCTTCATTATTCTTACCAGAGCAAGTTATAAGTGTCACATGTGACATATAGCATGACTGCGGTTCATACAATAAACATTATTACTAGTTTCTTGGACCATTTCAGTGTGTGATATCTGTTATGTATCTATAATCCGTTTGAAACCACAGATAAATTCAGGAATCTCCATGTTTGTTAATGCAGGGTGGCATACTAGTATCCAGCAGGTTGCAGGTGCTGTTTCTACGGCCACAAAAAAGCCCCTGAGCAAAACAACGAGTCTCTAAATGCTCCCTCACTACTCACTGGAAGTCACACTGGAAAGTGCCTGAAGAGTGAGTAAGTTTTGTTCTGAGACAAAGGAATATTGCAAATGTTGCTTAATGTGTATGTAGATTTACTTGAAGTTAAAAACCTTAAAGGTTATATATACTAGATTTAAAGCATTCTCTGTTCTTTGTTTTCGTAGCCAGCCTGGCCATGAACGCGTGTTAGTTCATGACAGTCCCTCCTGCTGGCCGAAGGGAGGCTGAAAGTGTGCCCAGTGAAGTATTTGTTTTGGTGTGACATTCAGTTTTGGAAATCTAGTGGCATGAATGTCTTTATACACAACCTTTGAAGTGTCAGTCTCAGTTGATTTAGTGACACGTGCTGTTTCTGGTGGTCAGCTGATGAGTTTTAAAGATGACCCGTAAAATTTCCTCACTAAAATGCATATTTACTAGCTTGCAGTGTTCTTCTTTCCTGCTTTTGCATAAATCCAGGTAGCAAAGTTTTCATAACCATAAGTTCAGCACACACATACACACATGCAGTCCAGTCCAAACATTGCGATAGATGATATTATTGGGGAAAAATAATGCATATGGCGGGAATTGTTGCCATATTCAATACTATAAAATACCAGCCCAAGCCTCATACTGCAAAGTTCCCTTTGCTCTCAGAACAGCCTCAGTTCTTCATGTCATGGATTCCACAAGATGTTGGAAATGACCACCAGCCTGGACTGTTGACACAATGCAAGTTGTGTCCATGTGTTCCTAATTTAAGTGTGCGGTGAGTGTTCTGTGTATATATAGCACTCCAAAACTATCAGGGACAACAGGGGACAGTCAGTTCTTGCTCAGTATTTTATTTTAAAAGACTGTGATTTGAAGAAAGCACAGAACAAGAGAGCAACACAGGTTGTCAGGCTTGGTTGGCATTTCTTAACCAGCAGCTGCAGCACTCTCTTTACACTTTTCGCAGGCTATTTGACGTTTTGCATTCTCTTCCATTTCTTTCAACAGCTCATTGTATTTCTGACAACCACCAAGATTACGCTTGCAAAACCAGGAAGCAGTCGTCCCCGGCTGAGGACAAAACAAATTAGATGCAGTTAAATATGAACTGGGTGAACAGAAAAACTTACATTGTTTGTGGGTTCTTGTAAATAAGGTATTGTGCTTAACTTAGCAGCTTACTTAGCTCCACACATAGAAATACATCAAAAAGATGACTTTTTTGCATTATTGATTTTTAATTTTATTCATTTGTACTGACAAAAATATCGAAAAAACAACAGCATAAAAAATGTGATGGTATCACATAAATATATTAGGCTGGTAATATATTTTTTTTTACTACACTGTTGTCCAAATAATAATGTTACAACAGCTTAATAACACTAATAATAGAAGTAAAAGCAGACCAATCAGTCTACTCACTAGAAACAATATATGAAATGTAATATTTATTTTTGAAGACATCTGTTTTTCATATTCTATGTATACCACAACATAAATAGACCAGACAGTCGCAGACATAGTGATGAGAACGTGATGAATGTGCCACGTACCTGCTGTGAAAATCTTTCTCCATAGCGCACAAAGGTAGCAAGGTGTTCACAGTTATTATTCCAGACATTATATGGTCCACAGTTATTCCTTGTGTCAATGATGCGTGAAATTATTCTGTCATGAAAATCGCCTCTATTTAGTTCTGCTTGGAAATGTTGATCTAAGTAATTGTCGTGCATCTCTCTGCCATCCTCATCTCTGAGGGCACTAAACCCACAGATGCCCGTAGTCTTTTTTGGACCTACAGTGATGGTGAGAAAAAAAACATTTAGAAACACTGTAGAAAAACTTAGTAAGAAACTTGCTGGAAGGAATAAATAATTTTAGGAGCATCCACTGAAAAAAGTTCCTCTCATCCCACTGTCATTTGATAATCCCCATATGAAAAGGTCATAAGCAAAAATTGACAAAAACATTAATATGTTCATGAAGGACATTTCTGCATTTTAGGAAATCCTTGTTTGCCATCATATTCAGCAGCTAGCCCACAGTCAGACTCGCATAAGTACATGAATATCAGTCATCATGAAAATTAGGCCGTTTGGGATTTCTTGGAATGTGTATTTTTACACTTACACTTGATGGACAGAAAATTAGTCAGCAATTATCTTGGTATTTGAATAATTGTTTTAGTCTTTTTTTTTTTTTTTTTCAAGAAAAATCTTCACTGATTTCAACGGTATGAGTTTTTGATGCTCGTCTTTGTCATATATGATAGTCAATATCATATTGACTATCATATATGATAGTCAATATCATATATGACAAAGACGAGGATCAAAAACTCACACATACAAATAAATACAGTATCGTTCCATTGTCAGTTTATATGCGATGAAAAATGTCCTGATCAGGCAGTTTGCCTGTAATGTTCACATTATCCACATAAACAGCAAAGTGCTTGTAGGTGAAAGTTTTGCAGACACATTTCCTTTTAAATGAGATTATATCCCCAAAGTTGTACTGTGAAGAAATCAGAGATAAATTTTACCAACTTAACATTAATTACAAAACAGAACCACACAACTATCAAATGACTTGATGGGTATAGGGGGAACAGGTTTTTTACTTAATTTGTGACTTCACGGTTATAACTATATAATTAATTTACAAAAGTATTCTTTACAGTTTTAATTTTAGGGCTACTAAATGTATAGAGTGTTACAGATTGATATTATATATACTTTTATAATCTTTGGTTGCATTTCTAACAAAAGCAAGTTTTCTAGCCCAAAGAAAACTTTCTGGTTATCTTAAAACCAAGATACCCAAGCAGTCTTAAAATACAAAAATGATCAGATATCATCTTATATTTTTAAATAGCAATGTGGTATAACTGGGTTAGTATAAATTGATGTTGTTAGCAGAGGTTGTAGGAGCTGTAGAATAAACTATAAATACATGAAAGAAACTTACTTGTCCATTAATCCCTGTTAATATGATCGTGATCTGAAGGATCACTCCGGCCAAGATCAGCTTCCTCATTTTAGCAACAGTGGAGAACTGACATGATGGACAGAGAAAAACATGAAAAAAATAATTATGTAAACCACATCAGTTTAGATGATCAGTGAGCCCCTTTGAATTTGTACCTACTGGGGGAATTTGTCATACCAGGGTCTAAGCAATGAGACAGAGGAAGGATAGAAAGTAAAAAGCAGCAACAAGGAAAGGACAGGAAGTATAAATCATGACCGACCAATGAGTGAAGCAGATGGTAAGTACAACAATTGAGATCCTCTGCACCCGAATGATAACACACACACAAAAGTTTACTGGTGCATTTTAGCTGCTCAGCTTGTATTGACATGACTGAGGACATTCTCTGGCTTCATAATAATATAATAATAACATAAGAATGTAAAAGCATGATTTTTCTTGTACAATCCTGACAGTTCATACTCATGGTTAGAATTCAGGCTTAGGTTTATTCCCTCACCTGCCACAGCCATTTAAAAAGTCAAGAACAAGACAAGAGAAACAAGTCATGTTGGAGGTCTTACCTCCCAGCCAGTCCCAGCCTGTTGGGACAGAGGAAGGCATCTCCTTATATACAATTCAGAGCAACACATCTGATAATAATGTGTCTTTGTCCAGCCCATATTTACCACGGCTGTTCCCCAGGCTCATATGAATGTTCCAACCTACAGTTGGGGGATAACACTTATCAACTTATGTTTGACTAAGCACACGTTTTTTTATATTCCCATTTATGCAATTCCTCGTATTTACAGCTGGGAGCTCCCAGTAAATGTAGTAGTTTACTGGTCACCATTTTCATCTCATAAGCCAGCTCCTAAGAGCAAAATTTGCAACAACAAAAAACTCAAGAGGAAAGCAGAGGGCAACCTGAAAAATGAAACTGAAATGACACCACAGCAAAAGACAAGCTGAAGTCTGAGCAGATGAGACACTGTATATCACTGTGAATTTACTCTGCTGCCCAGTAGGAGAACACCTGTTC